CGAAAAAGACACAAGATAATCGACATTTTTCATGGCCTCATAAGCAGATTCATTGAAACAGTCAGCCAAATCTAAATGACGCGACAATAGTTACCCACTTCTAAAATGTGGTAGTTTATCACCAGCCCTTAAATGCGAACGGAGAGAGTCGATAATCTTGGAATGCAGAAAACGTGAACGCGAATAAGCTTCATTGACAGACCTTACTAGTCCAATGAAATCTATACATTTTATTAACCATGAAGACCATCTCTGTGTTAATATGTACCACGACAGTGCAATAGTTGCTGCTGCAGCAAATCATGCAACAAGGCAATATGCCAACAACAGTTCAGCACCATAATCCTTTGACAGCAAAGTTTGGCCAACCGTGTATGGAAGTGAGGATGATTGGGCAATAATGCACTGAAGTTGACCGATTTTCACCCTTTTAACTTCAAGTTTAATAACGACTTACATAGCAGAATTTTTAGCTAAGGAAGTACAGAAGTTTTATATCCCTCAAACTTAGTTTCCTTGACGAGGGTCTCAACGCCTAAAGTTGCGCAAAGCAACAAAAACACTTCATTTCTGGACGCCTCTGAACAATTTATTGGATTATCACCATTCAATGAACATCGACATTCTAACACCATACCACATGACTCGAAGCTTTCAGGGGCTGGTCATTTTGCCGGTGAAACTTTGTATTTAATGAAAGGCTTTCGAATTTGTTAAAAGAGACAAATCCATTGAAATGATCGTGCAGTCAATGAAGAAAAAAGCTAACGACACATTCTTTAAAATCGCATGCTAAATGATAGAACTGTGATCAGACAATGAACTAAAACCAAATTTCTTTAGACATGGGATATTAATAGTACTTTTCCAGATATGTAGCACAGACACATTTCGGAATTCAGATGGATTACCCCAAAGCGATGTATTTTTCCCTCTTACATAATCCAGCTTGATATTCAAGCATTCTGTTCTACTTCAAAATGTTTAAATTTATACAAAATATGAGTAAAACTGCGACTACCGACCCTATTGCTTTCATTTGAAATAACTTTTGGTTCTTGCAATCTTTGATGAGGTTCACAGAAAACTGTGTCGCCTTGTTCAGCAGCATGACTTCCATATCCTAATCCACCAGTACGCACTGCTGTTGATGCCCCCCTCGATATAAAGTATTCCGACATTCCGGCAGAATCACCAGATGTCGGAGAGAATGAATGAGTCGGCGAGTTTGTTATTGAGTATTCGTGATAACTAGGTATCAGTTGGTGTGGATCATCGTATACCTGAAATAACAAAATAAAATGTCATGCAATGTGTCTTTCTTTACGTACAGCATAACTTACACAAATTAATCAAAGGTTTTTGATATAAAGTTATACAGGTAAAAATCACAATGCGCCAACAATCAAATTCAAGTACTCCACTATATACTAATATAACAATATAAAATAAACACTTTAATGCACATGCATATTATTGTGATGTAAGCTGCATAACCAGCCAGTTCAATGAAAGGAATATCTTCCTATAGTTTTGTAATGAACAGCCCTCATATATATTACAAATTGAGCAACGAAGAAATCTCACTGGAAAAACAATATTCTCCAAATGTATAGCAAAGGATAACATAACCACAGAATGAATATGGATGAACAGCGGGTACTAGATCCGCCATCTGCCCTTCCCGTCGTCAGTGTTCTAAAAAGCTTAGTACGGTGTGAACTTTACCCTCCGGAAATATGAAAACAGGGCTTAACATCGGTAGGAATTGTATCATTTCCTTATCAGCAAGACTATATTCAATATTGAAAGATATCAGGGTACAACACGAAAAATGGTTCCTGCGGAATACCCAGTCAAGTCAAAACTCGTATAATGAATATAAAAAAACAACACAAAGATGGCAGACAACAAAAAACTTGTTCTTGAGACAAAATAACGACCTTACAGTAAAAGCGTTTAGCAACTGTTACATTTTATTGCCTAACATTGAATATTCAAATAAATTTAAAGCATACTTCCTGATAATCGTATGAATTTTGAGAGCAATCATCATTTTTTGGAATATGACGACCCATAAAGTTACGCAACGTTTGTCCTGAAGGCATATCACTTGCAACACCATGGTTTTGTCCATAATTCTGCAAGCTGATGAAATAAATGAACTTGCACAAGAACCACAGAGATATATTCAACAGAAGGCAAACTATAAATTTTGAACTAGGAAAGAAGTTAGCACCAGCTAATCTAAAGTAGAGGTAATTCTAAAGAGATCCTGGGAATAGATCTACAGAGTAACACTAATAAAAACCCAAGTTTCTTATGTCTGACTAAGTAGTATACGAAGCCTAAACTACTTTTTGACTTCTGATAAAGCTACATGAGAAAAAAGGCTACTCGTGATAATCGTCAGAAATATTCAAGAATTGGAAGTTTAATAGCCCTCAAGAAATTCTGCACAAAAAGAAGATGGAAATGATAAACGAAAAAGTAATGATGAAATGTATCGGGAAAATGAGATTAAAGTGAGCCTACGCCTATAGCTAGATGTGAGAAACACACCAAATTTCGCTGAGAAATCCCGTAAAATGTATTGGATGAAATGCCTCTTCCTGAAGAAAACGATTGTACATGGTGGTCCTGAGCTGATGTCAAGGCCAAACGGGCAGAAGGATGTTGAAAATGAGCCAAAGGCTGATTATACTCTGCATTCTGTTCATCTTCATCTTCGTCAATATCACTTGGTTCTTCTTCTTGAAGAAATTGGGTGGGTAGCGGCACGAACCGACGAACCGGTTCATTTTCTGGCATTTTGACCCGTTAAAATCCTGAAGGAAATGGAGAACTTTAACTTTGAATAAGAGATCGATGACATCGTACGCAATCACGTCTAAGAACAGCGAAGTATATCAGAAAAAGAAATCAGTACCAATAATACAACATAACAATAAGATGATCATACGGAATCCTTGGGATTCTTGCCAGGTTCAAAAGCAGTATTCCGACAATATTAAGAAAGAAAAATGCTTATTCAGTCGGCAACTATTTCACACAGGAATGCAGCTTTATGCTAAAAACTGTCTTCATTTCACAAGGATGAATGTAGTCCACAATCTACTTCATCCGAAACAGATTATACTTTGCGTTTAAATTAATGCTTATGTTACCAATTCGAAATGCCGTTTCTTTCTAACAAAATACAGTAAGAATCTAATTTAATATTTCGCAAGTTCTAGATTTCGAAAAACAGGAAAAAAATGATAACCTTATCAAAATATCTATCTTTTGGACTTTTTTTTAAACACAAACTACTACTTTTCAGCCTTCAGATAATTTGCCTAACAAAGTATAAATCTTGTAAAATGTATAGAGAAACTTCCGATATCAATAATCAATAATCAGATAATCAATAATTAAAAATCAATAATCAATAATCAGAAAATTTGATCCCTGACACCTATACACATATGTGTTCATCTTCTTAAATAAGTGAAATAGGCATGCCGGAGTAGAAAACCGCCCGTCGAAATGAGGGCGCGATGGATGGGAGAGGATGTGTGCCACGTCGAAAATGCCGACGACAAAACATGAAATCAATCAATTGGTTGGATGCAATGCCTTCTCCCCCTATCTTCTCTTTGCAAGCCATTGCTTCAACACTCTTTTCTAACCAGTTCACAATGCTAGAGCTCGATGCTCACCACACTGATCATACAATTACCTAAATTCGTCTCTTTCTTCCCTGAGACCGTTGTACCACTGCATCACTTCAATCGATCACTAATCATTGGTAGTACTGTTAATGCATTCACTTCAATGGTTGAAGTGGAACATACTACAAACACGAATGACAAATAATTGAGCATATGTGAGTACACAATACAAATGAATGTTCAAGTACACAACTCTACAATACCAAGATTATGAATCATAACTCCGAAGTTTATGGATCACAATCCTCCGCCCTCCGCGCCTCCCAACATAAATAATACCCCTTTACCCGCTACCACTCCGAACCACATACCCAATCACATGTCATATCTAAACTTCAACCGTTCGCTGTTCGAATTAATCAATGTCCATAAAAATTCATATGCTCCGTTACGCAACTCCGAAAGTCTCCTCACCTCTCTGTGTTATTTGGAATGTTTGCTATTCCTGTAACGGTCTAGATGCGTATGGTGTATGATAGCAAAGAATTTCACTTCCGCCATTATTACTCCGCAGTATTATCTGCGAAATGTCAGCATATTATTGTCGTCGACGTTAGCATACCTATCCAGCAATAACAGTGATTTGTGAACAAGGCAAAAGATCATATGAGAGTCCCGCGATCCTTTCTTACAAGACATTGAGCCTAATTTTCTCCTGCTTAGAAAGAATTTGCAAATAATGTGGGAATATTCATATTTCAGGAATACTGGGAAATATGCGGCATGTGGACCAGTAACTATCGGGAAATGCGAAGGAGTGATAAATGGTCAATAGCCTCGGTTAAGTAATCCTTCCAATCATAGATTTTAATCGATGCAAAGCTTTTTACAGATCTTTAACATCTGGAAGTAGGGAACACTTTTTATGACAGGTACCGATAGAATTACTGCAGCCGATAAATTACACTACAATTAAAAGTGAGACCAAATGTTTTAAAATTTTATAACCTTATCGAGTACTACATAAGACGATGCGAGAGATTCTCGGTTCAGCTTTATATCCAATCTGTAATTCGTTGCTTAATATAGCTATACAAGCATAGCACTAGGACCAAAATCATAGCAGAAATGTACAAATTTTCAGTTTCAATCTTTTCAAAAAAAAAAGAAATAAACGAAAACAGATAGACATCTCAAAAATAAGGTGTTTTCTTCAGTTTACAGTTCAGATATACTCTTAAATTTTCGCAGAGTTTCTCCAAATCTTCTCGTTTCTCTTTTGAAAAATAAACATTTTGTTGACATTTTTAAAATCAAATCACATCTGACAATAACACGTCTCTTTCACAATTTTCTCTTCTCAACATGCACCATTTTGTCAATATCAAACAAAAAAATGAAAGACATAATTAACAAACATTTCTAATAATCAAAAACCACCTTCTTTCCAATTCTTGCCATTCCCAATGAAACAGATTCACTTCATGCAAATATAAATTAACCGGAAATTCCTGACCAAACCATAGCCAAATAAGTTTCTCTAACAGCCTGAAATTTTGAAACTTATAAGAACTGCAAGTCATATTCTAATTAAAATTAAACGAGATCCGATGTCATTGTGCATGTTGAAAGCACAAATTATTGTGTACAGGGTTGGTACTTTTGAAAAAAAAAATTTTTTTTTGTAACACAGATGCGATAAAATGGGTTTTTAACTAATCATATTGAGTTTTTAAACATATGTAAGTTTCATATGGATTAAAGCAAATATTGATCTAGAGTGTTATTAATGAGAAATCTAAAATAATGAGCAGAAATTTTGCGACGGCCCATTAAACAAATCTTTTTCGAAATTTCCGACAATCAATCCCCTATTTCCAGTAAAACAGATTCACTCTGTGAATATAAATTAACCTAAAATTCATCAGTGTAACGTTTCACAACGATGAACACTGTGAACCTTTTCAAGATCAATGAACAAACAATCGTATATTATTTCTACGGATTGAAGGATCGAATCATTCTAACAGTAATTTTTATTAACTTCCCCTTTATCTTATCGTATCCATATCTTTCCTTGTTTTATTATTTTTCTTTAAGCTTTACAAAGTCAATTCATACACTGTTATTTTTCCATATTTATTGCTCAAAGGTATGCGAAATATCGAATCCATTTATAAAAAATGTATGATATCATACATTTTTCATTTCTCTCAAAATGATTACTTTTCAAGTCCTGACAACACAATCAAAGCGATGAAATGAATCTGATAGCTTTAAGCTTTATGAAGTCGATAACACTGCGCCACTAAATCACCAATTATCGCAGAACACACGAATTACTCTCAGAGCAGAAAACAATTAAAAGAAACTAAACTCTGCAATCGCATTCTGAAGTTTCCACATTTAGCAAAGTAATTCCATGCATGCTGATGACTTTTTTTTTCAAAATAAATGATAAAATTTGATATTTTGCTTCTAAGATTTAAATATACATTTGCAAGTTTACAATCAAATCTTGTTTTGTAACAATTAAATTAACAGAAATCCCACAAAAGATCAACTTTTCATCTTCCAGTTGTAAAAAAAAAATTTTTTTCTTAAATTTCCACTAATTACTTGTTTTTTTTATTCAGAGAGTTTGATACCATTCAAACAAAAATTGTATAACATAAATTATCATTAACTTTTCAAAATGAAATTCTATCACTTTGTTAGAGCCAAGGATGGAACAACATTTAGATGGAAATATTTTCAGGCCATACAAAACAAATGATAATTTGTATGAATGATAGGAAACTGTCTGAAAAAAGCCTGAAAATATTTCTTCAAATGTTGCCCATCCTTGAGTCTAACAAATTGTCCTTTCTTTTCTTGCTATGTCATCCGTCATAAAAATGTGTAATTTCATTATAAGCCACAAAAAATGAGGGGGAAAAAAAGAAGCAAATCCTAGAGGGTAATAAAATTTTCAAATCAAAATAACACCGTATATTTTTCTTTCGCTGAGAATGTTAGTATTAAAATTTTGTTTCCCGGATACTTGATATACGACTTGCTTAAATTTCTTTTATCATATATGTATATATATATATATACATATATATATATATATATATATATATATATATATATATATATATATATATATATATATATATATATA